ATATATATATATGTGATTTAAATATCTTTTAGGAATAATTTCATATTTAATCTATATAGTCAAGTATAAATAAAATAAGCTTTTAAGAATATACATACACACATAATATAATACACATACACCATATATATTTGATTTACCGTTTATTCATATATAATGTGTCCTAAGTGTACTTAGGTTCTCTGTTTAAACGATATTTATCTTCTTTCTCGTTCTCACGTCACGTTGCATTTGCCGAAGCTTTTTTCTCTCTCTCTCTCTCTTTCTTTTTTATTTTTTCTTTTTTCTTTTGAAGGAAATCAAGCTAGCAACACTTTCACGTTCAACGAAATTTATTCCTCGTCTATAGATAAGGATAAAGAAAAAGAGAGTGAGAGTAAGGGAGTGAGTAAGAGAATGTGAGAGAAAGAGAAAGAGAGAAAGAGGGTTTAGGGTAAGGGTGAGAAAGAGGAAGAGAAGGGCAGGACGACGAAGGTCGATTGCCTTTTTATGGACGGAGACACCCTTGTGGAACGAATCGATAAAGAAGACTTCCGTTCAAACTGTTAAACCACCTGCGAAAACACTTTTGTCGATGTTACTACCACTTTCTTTCTCTCTCACTTTCTCTCTTTCTCTCTCGATCGTAAATTTTTGTTAAATATTAAGAAAAAAAATGTGTTGCAGATATGAATTTTTCGTACCGGTTTATTTACTATTTGTTTATAATTTGTTTGACGATTTTACTACCACTTTCTCACTCTCTCTCACTCTCTCTCTCTCTTTCTCTCTCGATCATAAATTTTTGTTAAATATTAAGAAAAAAAATGTATTGCAGATATGAATTTTTCGTACCGGTTTATTTACTATTTGTTTATAATTTGTTTGACGATGTTACTACCACTTTCTCTCTCACTCTCTCTCTCTGTCGATCGTAAATTTTTGTTAAATATTAAGAAAAAAAATGTATTGCAGATATGAATTTTTCGTACCGGTTTATTTACTATTTGTTTATAATTTGTTTAAGCGAGATTGAGAAACGAAAGAAAAAAGAAAAGAAAAG